ACTGCTTCTCTTCATCAGCGTTAAAGATAGTCACAGCATTACCAGTACGACCAGCTCGGCCAGTACGACCAATTCTAAGAAAAATGCCCTACCCAGGGATCGAACCCATGACCATGTTCTACCTATGAACATAATCTTCAATGACCAATGGGAAGGTATAATTGATGACTCCCGTAACGTCCTTAACATCGAGCCCTCTAGCCGCGACATCAGTGGCGACCAGGATGAGGTTTTGACCCTCCGTAAACCTCTTGATAGAAGCCTCACGGGCCATCTGCGTCATGTCACCATGGAGGCCAACAACATCGTAATAGTCCCGAAGGGTCCTCTCCAGATGCGCTGCCTCCTTCTTGTACAAGGCAAACACGATCACCTACGACAGCAGACAAAGTTATCCACAGTACAAGTACGAGCTACTCCATCAGAAAGGGTATAGATATCTACGCACAGTGTAGATTTACCCATAGATGAGTGCCCCTCCCCGTTAGTATTATCAATATTACTTTCCAAACTCCCTTGTTAGGGCAAAGGTTGCCAAGATGATACCACAGACGATTCATCTTAGGCTTCCTGTCCTGTACGATATCGATAGTTTGAGTGATTCGTGTATTGGCTGTGAGCTCATCCTCATTGCCCTTCGTCTCGTTACTTCCCATCACCGTCACTGTTATCCGCTCGCGCTTCATCAGCTTCCTCGACAGCCTCCGTACCTAAACTCCCACCTGCCGTCCGAAGGCTCCCCAAAGGCATTACTACCTCCTTATTCCAAGTAGCTGAGAACATAAGAGACTGCCTCTTATCGGGCGATGGGAGATACCCAAAGATATCCGTGACACTAGGTAGGAAGCCCATGTCCAGCATTCTATCAGCCTCATCAAGAACAGCATAGTTGACCTTGTATAAGTCCAAAGAGCCGTCCTGGAGGAGATCCAAGACTCGCCCGGGAGTACCAACAACGATCCTAGGGTGCTCAGCCTTCAACTGTTTCTGCTGCTCCCATTTAGGCGTACCACCATAAAGGCAGATCGAAGGAAGCTTCTGCTTCTTCT